AGTGAATAAATAATCTAAATTTATACATAAATATACAGTAATGGAAAGATAGAAAATGATCTAGAAAGAGGGAATATGTCTGAAAGAATTTCTCAAGGTTTACTTTCCTGAAGTTTATATTGTAAAAGAAAAAAAAAAAAGATGATTCATTGGGTCAGGCTGAAGAGTGATAAGTATCCCTGAAGCCATGGAGCCATTATTGATGTTTCCCTCCATGCTGAAGTACAAAGCAGTTTTCCCAGGCAGTCAGTTCAGGAAATTCATGTTTGGTCTGGTGAGGTATGGTAACTTTGGAAAGCTTCATGTTTTCAGTTTTTTGATAGTTGAAGTTGCATTGAAAGGACCTTCACTTTATTCTGTCATATGGATAGCATATTTCTCACAAGACATACAGAGCAGTGACAAGTTTTATTTTTATAGCTCTATCTAGATTTTGTCAGAGAACATAAGTAGCTGGGGTTTGACTGAGCAGACTGCTGAAGGGCAGACTGCCTATGGACAGCTCCCACTTGGCTTGCTGCCTGATATGGCCGTGGTATGGGATTTCTCATCAAGATAATGGCAGTGGGCTCCAAGCTCGCCATCTTCAGAGAAAATTAGTGGTGCTTCACATAGCTGTCAGGGACAGAGGCTAAAAAGATAGTTAACATTGCTGAAAACATATTTGAAGGAAGACTGCTGAGGTGTCGGCCTTGGCTACTTTTGTCATATGTCACCATGGCCACCCTAGACGCAGGGAGCAAGGACGAAAGTACAAAAGCATAGCTTTCTGTACTGCCAGGCTTTGGGTTTATACTCGAAAGTGGAAGATAGTGAAAGACCTTTATTCTTTCTCCAAGAAACAAACAGGAATCTCACCTTAGGACAGCAGATTCCGTGGAGAATACTCTCACAGAGTTATTAGCACAATTATGATCTCCTTAAAAGATTCTCCTTAAGTTACATTATCAGAAAACATTTTGATTGTTTTGGGTAGTCCGAACTTTCTTTATTGAATGATAATTAAGTGTAACATAATAATATAAATGTTTTGAAAATGCTAGCAAGTGTATTCATGTCACTTATTACCTTTTTACACACTTGATATAACTTATGTTTATTGTGTTCTATTTTCATTTTGCTAGAATATTAGATCCATTAAAACAGAGAAATTAGTCACTTTGTTCATTGATATTTCCAGCTACCTAGAAGAACAAATGCTACCTTGTAAACCCTATTGGGTAAATACATTTCTTAGCATATAAAACACCAAATAAATAATAATAAACTTTATCATCTAGGGAACACAAAATACGTGAAATTCAAACTATTGTATTGTGTGTTGAGTAATTGTAGCAAAATATTTTTTAGAGTAAGGAAACCATATAAGTTAAATGTGAAACTCAACCTCTTACCTATGAGATTATAACTGAGAAAGCTACTTTATCCCAATATATTGATATTTATAAATATTATTTGCATATCAGTATTTAAAAATCATGTCTATTTTCTATACCAGAGTTTTGAATATCCCAATTGCTTCATAAAAACAAAATACAGTTAAAATTTTTATAGGTTACCCACCCACATTCTTTTTTGGAACTGGGCATGATTTTGATTTCTAGAACTTAACAGTGTTTTTTACAGAGATCAGGAGGAAAAATCTGTATTTAGAGAACATGGCAACAATTTGACATGGGATTTATAAAAATTCGTAAAGTCTATACCTAAAAATGAGGTATAACACTAGGTTAGAAGTGTTGTTTGCAATGTCTTTGATTTGTATAAATACACTCTGTAAGAGACTGAGTTTCATTTCTTGTAGAACATTTTTATACAGTTCTAGGAATAGTAAAGCTATTAATTAAAACAGTCTCTAAAGGATTTGACCTATTCCGACTTTCTTCATGGCAGAAGTAACATTGTAAAATGAACTGCCATCTGATTGGCATATTGATTACATATTCTTTTGACTGGAGAAACACAGCCTCTTTCTAGGAAGTACCTTTGCATTTTATCAGCATGTAGAAAATTGGGTTTTCTCTATGTTTTGGGGTATTAGGTTGGTTGACATTATGAGTTATGGCTTTTTTAAAAATTGTTATAAATGCTGAGCCTATTGAAGTGATTCAAATTGCTTTAGAGTTAAAGTCTATAAAATATAACAATAAGAATGTATAAAAGTGTTATATTTGTATTATTCAAAACAAGTGTCTCATAATCTCCTGAGTTATCTTATTCCTCAAGGTATTCACTAATTCTATAAGTGAATATTCAGTGTTTTCTATTGGAAAAGGTATTTTATGTAGGAGCTTTTTAAATGTTGTTTTCCAAAGTATAAATAATCTTCTATTAAAAATGTACAGAATCTCAAATCTGGTGGTTTTGTTCTTGGAGGCAAACTAACATCAGTGACATCAGTGATTTTAAAATGATGACCTATACAGTTGTTTCAATCTTGTGGCTTTGAAATGAAACCAAATTGGTGCGAGTCTGAAATAAAACAAACCATCATCTGTGAGAACATAACATTCAAAATAGAGTAATTAAATGGAAGTCAAGTCAGTAGAATTAGAACCCACAAAGGAACATGACTCCATCCTTTTGTCCTTTGCCAAGACAGTATTTCTCTAATTTTTTTTCTAATAAATATCATGACAATATTTCCTTTTTTAGTTTTGACACGCCTTTTATTTGTTGTTGTTCCTTAATGATGCCATTTTTGGAGGGGAAAAAAAGAGTTGAAGCAATTAATTGCACAGTTTTTGATAAGGGTATAATACTTTAGAAAAGGACATGAAGACTCCGTTAGAATTCAGGGGAACTGTACAGCTTCCATTCTAGACCTCTCATACTCTTGGAAACATTCTGGGCCAGTATCCTCTGAGAAAGTCTCCAGTCCTTTTCTGTGATGGAATGGACAAAGGTTTCTGACTCTCAAACTTTCCAGCCTTTTCAGCACCTGCCAGTTTAAACCTTTGAGCCATGACATCCTCTAAGAGCATGCTTTTCTTCACCAGGAAGATGGATGATATCTACCTTAGAGACTTTGCTAAAGACAGAGAAAATATATATTTGAACACTTTTAAGAGTGGGGAAATGCTGAATCAAAAATGACTCATATTAGCTATTGTGGTGTGCACACTTTGAGGTACTTTGCTAATCATACATTCATATAAGCTTATTTAAGTCTCAAAACAATCTTATGAATTATGTACTATTTTTATCTCCACTTGAAGTATGATTAAAGTGAGAGACATGCTATTTAATTTCTTCAGGGTCTTAAATAGTTAATTTGAAGAGTTTGAACTGAAAAAGAAGTCATATTCTTACCCTCTCCTTGCTATAACCACTAGCATTGGTCAATTTTTTTTTCTTTCTCTCTCTCTCTCTTTTTTTTTTAAACAGGAAAGTATGAAATGTTGTTTTCTATTGACATATAATGAATTATTCTTTAGATTGTCTGGGCTTAGGAGTTATCAGGGGCAGAGCACTTCATCAGTTATGAAAAAGGTGTGTGGTAGAGGTGGGCAGGTTAAAGAAGACCTGTTTCCCTTTTTGGTAAAACACACACACAAAAAAAATAGGTTCTGTATTAAATGTGCATGATCTAGTGTTGTGATTTGTGCAATTCAAGAATTGTGCCTCCTGTGAATTAAAACCCTTTGAACTTGTGCATTTAATATGATTTAATCTGTTATATAGATTCATATATAAGTTGTATGTGTGTTGTACAAATAAGCATTATAAAACTAGCATAAATAAACAAAAATAAAAGACAAGATAGAAACAAAATTAAAATTGTTCCTCTGTGTCCTCTGATGAACTTTATCCACGCTAGTCTAGCGAAGGGAGAATCCTGTGCAAAAGTAGGAACTGGAGAAACTCAGACACCAATGTGATCTGCCAAAAACATTTAGTCTTATAAAGAGCATTGCACAATCATCTAAATACTGGGCAATCACATAAAAATTTGGATGTCTGCCTTTTCCTGGAAAATCAGTAGACCTGGCAACACTGGTTTGCATTCCCCCATGACAACCATTGACAGAAGTTGATCACCAGCTGGTCTCTTTAGACAAACCCTTTATTCCCTTTTATCACAGCCTCTACCAACCCTATTGTCCATGTGGGCCAATTCATGTTTTCCCTTTGTTTGCTGTTCTGTAGGCATTTGAGTTTGGAACCTCTGAATCAGAGAAACAGAGTTCATATTCCTGTTCTTCTACATTCTATAATCAGGAGTATTTTGTGCAATTCTGTGTGAATAATTTTCTCAATTTATGAAGAAACTGAGCACGTAATTACTTCAATAAGATTTTCTGGTGTGTTAACTGGCTACTGATTTCTCAATCAGCTTTTTTTTTTTTAACTTAGAATTTGTAAAGGACCAAAAAAAAAAAAAAAAAAGAAAATTAAAATTAAATTCCTCAAAAATGCTACAAAAGACAATTGTATTAAAAATTGACAATTTTTCCTTAGTGTTTCTTGGCATAGTTAAATCAATCTCTGATCATTGCACCAGAAAGGAATTAGCATTTTAATGATTTCTTTTCCTATTTAATCATGTAAGATAAATTTTCATTGAAATTTTCATGTAAAAAACTATCAGCTAATTTACCATCTTAAATTGTTGTAGAGCAACTTACAATTTATAGCTGAATTATGTTATAGACAATGTAAGTTTAGCAACTTAAACTGATTAACATTTGATTTATCTGTAAGGTCTCAATTTTAAAGAGGATCTGTTTCTAATGTCATTTGTATGTTAATTTTTCAAACTATTTGCTTGCAAATTAAGTAACAGAAAAGATGTCTTTCCTTAGAGATTTCTTGTCTGCAAATTCATGTTGATAAAAGGTTCCAGTGCATTAAACAAGTGTGTTACTTTGTTAATGGATAGCATGGCACAGGTAATTAACTATGAAGTCATTAAGGCTTTTCAGTGCTGTGACAGTTTTGTTTACCTATAACAGATTAATGAACATATCAAATGATCTTTCTCCCTCTTGTTATTTTAGATCAACCTTGAGTGGATTTTGACAGAAGATGTTGCAACAGTTTTTTCTCTGGAAATGTTTAGCTTCGGGGATCATCATTGGCTCTCTCTTTGCAGCTTGCTTTGGGCAATACGATGATGGTAAGGCTGCTATTAGTCTGACCTTTAGAGCTGGCAGGAATTTCTGTTATTAAATTAAAAACGAAACACACCAGAGAAATGAATAGTGTTAATTTGTAGTTAAGTTTTAAAGGTTAGTAGCTATGAACAATAAGTTACCTTAACTAAAATAAGCTTACAGAAGTGGCATTGGATAAACTTTGCTGTTTAATAATTGCATTGCACTGTGGTAGAAAATCCAACATAAGATTTGAATTCTATTTAATTCTATTTCTAAACTCTTGAATAAATACAAATCTAGCAATACAAAGACAGCAAAATTTCCTTTTAGACAAGATCTCCAAGGGTCGAAGTAAAAGCCACGAGTTTTTTCAGTGTTAGTATTTTAATTGAAAATTGCATTATTATACCCACCACTATTTCATCTGAAATGAGTGAATAAAGATAATAGAGTTGGTGTTTGGCTTCTTCAGTCATTCCCTGACAGTAAGTCAGTCATTTTAGAAAGATATATGTCTGCAGGCTCTTTAGGGAGATCAGACATGTTATGTCCACAATGATTGAAATATGGCTTATGGATTTCAATATTGAAAAAAATCTGACCTTGAATAACACATAAGGAGAGTTAGAACATGTCTCTCTCTGTAGAATTCTTTCAGTTCAAAGGGAAAAAAATGAACAAAATTCTCTCCTAAAATTTTGCAGTTTCAGAAAAACTATTTCATTCTTTTTTGTTCAACTTTTCATGTGTTTACTCAATATTTGTTCAGCATACAAGGAACATAATTAACTATCTCATGAATATTGTCCTGTTATCTAGTTGATCTCAGTAGTAGCAAATACTGTGAATTTCTTATGTGCTTTGCTTGGCTAAAGTGATTAATCTTAGGATAGGTAAATTAATTTGATTTACCCAAATAACATTCAAGTTGTGCACATATTAAAATATTCTCAGTCTTCAATTGTTTGAGAGGTAGATTTTTGAGAGGAGGATGGCCAGCATCTCATTGGGGGGTTCTTCTACCCAGAGGAATCCCAGCCACCCTAAATGGCCACCCTAAATCTTAAGTATCTCAAATAATTAACAAATAATAAAAACAAACATTCAGAAATATATTTACAAAAGTGAAGCCCCTGATAGATCTAGTTCACATGGGTTATTGAATTAGAAACAAAAAGGCTCTGATGGATTACTTAAGGGGGTACATCAAAGGCAGGGGTAAGGTTTCAAGGGTAGAATCTTGCTTCCTGATGTCTTTTGGTCAACAGATTGTTTGACATATTGGCAGGTCATCCATCTCAGGTGCTGTGTGGGATCTTAGGCAGAACTTGAGGGGGAGGTTCACCTGCATCAGGTGATCAATCCCTGGGGGGGGGGGGCTACGGGGAGTTTGCAATGCCAGCCTATCCCCTAATTAGGCTATTATGCACAGCAGTCCACACACAGCCCACGGATGGCTCTACAGTAGATTTCTTGGGATTTGAAGAATAATTCACATTACTAACTGTTTTCATGAAATCAACAGCTTAATCCCCTGAATAGTCATACTAATTAGCACAAGGTTTACTTTACATCTAAATTTGTGGTTCTCATCTTTGTCATTTATAGAAATTGTGAATCTCCAGTCTAAAAACAAATTTTAAAAAATTAGCAAAAAATAAATAACTGCTACTTTGAAGCAAAAAGAAACAATGAGATTAAAATAGTATGACTTTATATTAAAGGATTGCATTTTAATTGCACTCTGGGTATAGATGACAAATCAGTGTGATGTGGGTTTTTTAATAAGTAATTCTATTTTTATCCATATTTAGTATTCATACTGAGCAAGAAAATATTCACTATCATTTTTCACATTAGACATTCTCAAACCATGTACATTTTAGCAATATGACTGGTATTATCAGAGGAAATCCCTCCTGGTTTCACCTATAATGCTATAGATTCATAATCTCAATGTAGCTGTTGATCTTCTGTTAAACTAGTCACTTAGCTTCCAATATAAGCTTGTCAGGTCACTGTTGGTTATCATATACTCAACTTCTTGAAGCAGAGGGTACCTTCTCACCCGACCACTGATAGTATGGTAGGTGGCCCTTTAGGCCCTACACACTTAGATGACTTACTTACACTAACAGTTAGAATGGCTTCTCAAGTCACTCCTCCAAAGGTGTGACTCACTCTTAGAAAGATTGAAGGTATGGCAACTATAGCAGATGAACTTAAGCTCTATATTGTGTTTTCTGGAGATTTCCTAATTGCATATGCATTTCAGTATTTCCTCTTTATACGCATCCTTCAATGTGCCCCTGAAGTAATAATATATTCTTCTACCTTTCCTCCTCCCAAACCAAACTGTTTACTTCTTTCAGATCTCCCTCAATTTCAGACTCTTTGGTATTAGTTTTCTTCTGTTGTTCAGTTATGTGTGACTAACATGGTTTCCATAGATGTTTCCTTAAAAAAATGCCTATAAAATTATGAACATATATTATGCAAGGAGGAAATCAGGACCAGGCAAATCATGACTAACACAACATTTGACTAGATTGGAATATGTAATATGGAAATATTAAAGCAATATTTTTACCCAAATGTTTGGGTTGTGGGTATATTACTATATTGAAGAAAGATAATGGTGATGATCATAAACAGGATTGAAAACAAAATGAAAAGTTTAATGAAAATAATGCTTTTGCCATAGATAATCCACTTGGATTAACCATTATGATAGTTGACAACAAATTTACATACACATTTAGGAGCTTCAGAGAAGAATGAAGGAAAAAAAATGTTAAGTTATCCTGGGACAACTAATAAGGTAGTGCAGGTCTTTGTTGCCAGAATAGTACCCAGGCTTTTGGATAAGAATGATTTCTCATTTTTTTTAATGCATTTGTTTACTTAAGGGTTTGGAGGAAATAAAAAGGTACTGTTTATTTAATACATATTTTATCATGAAATGGAATATTCTAGTGTTATCCAAATGTCTAAAATTGCTTCTAAGAAAGAGATATTGTATAATGATTATTGTCAAATTTTTATAATATTTTTACTAGAAAAAATTAGTCATGTTTTAAATCTTTTATTATTTCTCATTCAAATTGTTGAGATAAGTTCTTAGATGCAGTATTAAAATTTGTTGATAATCTACTCCATAATGGTCATTTCATTTGGTATATGATTGTATATCTTAGCCTGCATTAATAATATAAATTAAATTCATATTATTATATTTAATTTAAAAGTCAGAATCTAACTGGTATATTTAGAAAATTAGAGAAATTAATAGATTGTGGTTTATAATGTATTGACAGAAGTCTTATTCTTTTCCATAAATAGAACATTAAATTTGATAATATTTTATCTTATCTTTTAATGCATTACTGATCCTGACAATATTGGAATATATGCCCTGATCCCAAACTGAGTGTTCAGAGCCTAGAAAGGAGGAACCTTTGGGAAGCAGAGAAAGAAAGGTTATGGGCTACATTTTAAGTTATAGTGAATAAAACCTATTTATAATATAATCCTTATTTAAGCATTTGGTTTTGAACACAGGAATGGCCAATAAAAGGAATGTAGGGAAAGGATAAAAGGAAGGTCATACATGGATAATGAATGTTTTTTCATTTTTAATGTTTCCTCTATATTTTTATGTTTTTCATACTTAAAATATACTACTGCCAAGGAGGTGGCAGATACCTGTAATCTCTGGTATTCTTGAGGTTGAGGCAGGAGGACTGCAAGTTGAGGCTAGCCTGGGGAATTTAGTGAGAGCTTGTCTCAAAATAAATAAATCAATAAAAATAGCAGGGGATGTAACTCAGTGGTAAATCACCTCTGGGTGCAATCCCTAGTACCACAAATAATAAAAGTAAATAAGTAAAATATATTACTGCCAAACTCAGAGAAGTGTTTGTTTACAAATACATTATGAGAAAGTCTGAACCAAAGCATTGGAGGGTTTTTAAAATATGTATTTGCCAGTGGGAGGGGATATGCATGTGTACTGGAGGTGCATTTGAGAGATGGGGCAGAGAGATAGGAAGAGAGACAGTGAATACCTGTGATGAATAAAAACAATCTATTGAGAAGGGATTCTCCCTGCTCAAGCAGTTAACCTGGAAGCCAAAAATCTTCCATTTTGTCTTTCACCTGTTACATAAATTAGCATATTCCTATGATGTAAATGATGACAATGGGACCTTTATATAATGGACAACATGAACAACTATATAAAGGGATCATATTTAAACCCTGAAACAGTCAAAACACTTCCTGGTTCTCAGTGTGGTTATAAATAAGAATAATCCTCCCCAACTCAATTTTATTCCATTTTACATAGAATCTGGCATATGACCAATGTTCAACTAAAATTTTTACATTTATTGTTTTTATTATTTTTTTTAATTTTTTTAATATTTATTTTTCAGTTTTTCAGTGGACATAACATCTTTATTTTATTTTTATGTGGTGCTGAGGATCGAACCCAGTGCCTCACACATGCCAGGCAGGTGTGCTACCGCTAAGCCACAGCCGGCCCAAATATTTTCCCCTTTAATCCTTGAAGATTCTTGTTGTTTTCATTTTCACACACATTTTAGCATGACATTCTATTTCTAGGCATTTACATAAAACTATTACTATTTAATTGGAATAGCATTTAATTTATAAGTAGAAGAAAGATGACATTTTTACAGTAATAGAATTTTTAAACTATGAGCATGATAATGTCTTTCTTATTTAGCTCTTCTGTATTACTTCTTCAAAGATTTAAAATTTTCCCTTACTGGTTCAACTAAATTTTTTACATTTATTGTTTTTATTATTTTTATAAAGAATTATTTATTTGTCTTTTTAGAAACTGCACATTTATTTATAAAATTGTGCTCATGTATATATTCCTACATATATACACATAAATATTCATGTATATATTCAGATGACACTTAAACTGAACTTTGAGGACAAGCTCTAGGTTGATGCTTGTCCTTATGTAATCTATGGAAGGTCAGTG